TAACAAATTAACAGAGTGGATATACTGTACAACAAGATATTAATTTATAAGCTTCAAAATGCATTAATATGATTTACATGACTCTACATAATGTAAAAAGAATTAAAAAATTATGTACATTCAGTTCATTTTATAGTTTAACTTGTTATGAATTGTTTTATATGTCGAAACAAATAAGTTTGAATGAAAAAATTGGCAAATTTTACTATATCTTGTTTGTTTTGTTAAGTCGCTTTCAATTTTATTCAATTCACTTTCAACTTTTATTTTGATAATGTTGAAAATAAGAGAAAACTTCCTGCCTACATTAAAGCATTTTTAAGTGGTTTCAGCAAAGATAATTAGAAGTTAAAATTATCATTATTTTAACTTATTATCATAGTTACAAGACCTGACCTCAAAATAGACCTCATCCTTAAAAATCAAAGTTTCAAACTTGAAAGACATGAGATATAGAGGTCAAGAAATAAAGGTTAAAAACTTGTTTCTATTAATTTAAAACGTTGTGGATTTTCATTGCAATTATCTCATTATGCACAAAACCTTGTTTTAATTTAATTAAAGATTAGAATTTTTTTATTTTTTTTATTTTTTTTATTTTTTTTATTTTTTTTATTTTTTTTATTTTTTTTATTTTTTTTATTTTTTTTATTTTTTTTATTTTTTTTATTTTTTTTATTTTTTTTATTTTTAGATTTTGATAAAAGTTAGCCCCCGTTTTGGCCCCCATTTTTTGGAAATAAAAATGGATAGAATAGTGTTTTCTTAAAAAATGAGTGGTTGAAAAAGATAAAAAAAAATTCAGTTTACGTGTATTATTATTTTATGGAAGATTGTATGATTAAAAGTAGGAGAAAGAGAAAAATGAAAGGGAAAATTGCAGCCGAGGTAACAAACATTTCGTTTATTAGCAGACTTTGTCCATACCTTTAGTTTGTGCCATCGGAGATACCAAATCTTTAAAAAATGAGTAGGGCCAGTCCAAAATGATGATTTTCGTCTGTTTGACCGTCAAAACCGTCAGTTGACCCCTCTAATGATATTTTCAAGAATTTTTCCCAAATAGGTGAAGGGTAATACGGGCATTACACACATTTCTCTCCTTAACATCAAACACGTCAGTTACAACGTCATTCCACTGACCATCCACTATGGACCCTGCGAAAACCCATGAAGAAGACGAAACGTATGTCAAAGAAGATGAACATCCAGTGGACATTGCAGCCCACATTCGAGGCTCTCTTCCCAACCCGTGTATGGTAAGTATGTTCCCCTTTTTTCGGTTTACAGTGTGAAGTTCTGTGATTATGAAGTTTCCCTGTTCGATTGTCTTCACGTACTGGAAAATTCAAAAATTTTAAGTGGCTTGGTATATTAGAGCGTAATGTATTGTGTACTATCTTTTCTGCACATGTTTGTTACTCAAACTGAAAAGGGTTAGGGCTTAACTTTATTTTTTTTCGTTGTTTTTTCAGGGAAAAATTCAAAGTACTTCAATGTACGACTTCATCATGATGGAATTTTATTTCGAAAGATGAGAAATTTTGTGCATGAGCATGGGGAAATAAGTTATATAGACTACATCGACCCTAATTTCTTCAATAGATTTCTTTTGAACAATGCCATGAAGATGTTAGGATATTTTGATAGAATGAGATATCTGTACAAGATGGAGAAGAAAAGAATGAGTGAAGCTTCATTTTAGTTGGTTAAAGACTCAGATTTCGTGAACTTAGTGAAGTGGCTTGGTGATAATAGGACAGCTGAACTGTATTGCTTGCCTGCAGTTGAGGTTTTGGAGTTGCTTTGGGATGAAACAGAACAAAAGGATGTTCAAGTGTTTGATTGTGAGACTAGTGAGGAGTTGGTGAAGGTTTAGAAGTATGGAGAACATGATGAAGCATTGAATGAGAAGCAATCATGCTATGCTGTTGAGATTTATGACAAATCAGTAGAAGGTGATGACTTGCACATAGTTGATGAAGTGGAGGACATGGAAGTAGATGAAGATAAAGTTATCTTTATAGGAGATGACGTCGAAGAGGTTACAGTGCATGGAATAGAGCATGAGTATACAGAGGTTGATTTTATAGGGGTTGAAGTAGACTCACATAAACCAGAAGTGCATATTGCTGAACCAGAGAAACCACATGATGTTGAACTACAGTTGAGGTCTGAACATGAGTTGTATGATGTCGAACCAGAGGTGCATGCTTCTGAACCATAGCAGCAGAAAGTATGGGCTACTGAACATGAATTGCATGACATCGAACCAGAGATGCAGGCTACCGAAACTGATGTGCATGCTTCTGAACCACAGCAGCAGCAGGCTCAGCATGAGGTGCATGCTACTGAATAAAAGGTGTAGGCTACTAAACATGAGTTGCATGATGCCGAACCAGAGGTGCAAGCTGCTGAAACTAATGTGGAGCTTGATGAACCGCATGTTGATGTACAGGCTGCTGAAATTGATGTGGAGCATGATGATACTGAGCAGGATGACGAATATGAGGAGGGTGTTTTGGGAGAGGAATTCAATGACTCGAAGTACGAGCAGGAAGAAAATATTGTTGTGGATGATAATGATGAAAACACATATTTCATGTTAAGTGGAAGTTTTGACATTGGTGTAAGAGGTGAGCAGGAAGGTGTAAGGGATAAACAGTAAGGTGAGGTAATTGCTGGGAAAGAAGCTGGAACATACTACGAAGACTCCAATGAGCTTCTAAGCTTACCCAATGATACGGAGGCTGAGGGATCATCTGCCAAAAACAAGAATGTGTGATGGTTTAACCCTGCAATTGATATGGATGATCCAAAGTTCAAGCTAGGTAATTCATTTACTTTGTTTAACACATACATCGTTCTCTTGATTGAAGAAATTTATGATAGTATGCTATGTTCATTTCTGCCAAGGATGAAATTCGACAACATCAAGATTCTAAAGAATGCAGTAGTTAAATGCTCAGTCAAAAATTCTAGGCAATTGAGATACGTGAAAAATATGATGACACATTTGAGAGTTCGATGTCAAGATAATTGCCCTTGGATTCTGTATGCGTACCAACAATCCGACAAGAGTCTTAGAATTAACACATTGATAAATGAGCACACATGTACCATGGTGTGGTAATAAAAGGATTAATTCAAGTTTTCTGGCAAAGAAATACATAAGAAAATTTAGGTCTAATCCCAAAATTCCAATGAGTATCTATGAGATTCCAAAGCATCAGTTCTACAGGACAAGATCGAAATGTGTAGAAATTATTAATGGGATTGTAGCTTAACAGTACAAAATTTTATGGGATTACGGTGAGGAATTGAAGAGAACAAATCCAGGCAGCACAGTGCAGATCAAAGGTTCAGGTCACAAATTTAAGAGATTGTACATCTGCTTAGGGGCTTGTAAGGAAGGGTTTAAGGCTGGGTACATGCCAGTTGTTGGGTTGGATGGTTGCTTCATAAAATCTGCAGAAGTTGAGCAGTTGTTAGCAGCTGTTGGCATTGATGCTGAGAACTGTATGTTTCCATTAGCATGGGCAGTCGTGGATGTGGAGAACAAAACAAATTGGCAATAGTTCATAGAATTGTTGGTTCATGACATAGGGATGCACAACCCTCGAGCATGGACATTCATTTTCAATAAACAAAAGGGTTTGGTGGATTCCATAAGTCAATACTGTGAAGGAGCGAAGCATAGGTGTTGTGCTAGACATCTTTATAACAATTTCACCTTGGTACACAAAGGTCTGACCCTTAAGAACTTATTTTGGACTGCAACAAGGGCAACAACAGTGCCAGAGTGGAGGAGTGCAATGAATGAGTTAAGAGACATAAGTGAAAAGGCTTACAATTGGTTCCTTGAAAAACCTCCTTCCTAGTGGTCTAGATCCCATTTCGAAGAGCATTCGAGATGTGATATTCTTCTTAATAATTTGTGTGAGGCATTCAATTCTTCCATTGTTGTTGCCAGAGACAAGCCCATCATCTCGATACTAGAGAAAATTCAGCATCAGCAAATGATATTGATGAATACAAAAAGGAAAGTAGCATAGAGGTGGGATCATGCTTTCAGGCCAAGAATTGTGAAAATCATTGAGAATGCTAAGTCTGAGGCAAGGTACTTGAAGGCAGACTATGCAGAGAACCATAAATTTGAGATAAGCAGTAAAGATGATTTGAGGTGGAGCGTTGACTTGACAGAACATGCATGTGCATGCAGAAAATGGCAGGTCACTAGAATACCATATCCCCATACAATATCAAGCATGCTTTCAAGGGATATTGGTATACATGAGTACATCAACCCATGTTATGAGAAATTTTGTGTATGAGCATGAAAAAATAAGTTATATATACTATATCGACCTTGATTTCTTCAATAGATTTCTTTTGGACAATGCCATGAAAATGTTAGGATATTTTGATAGAATTAGATATATGTACAAGATGGAGAAGAAAGAATGAGTGAAGGTTCATTTTGGTTGGTTAAAGACTCAGTATTCATGAATTTAGTGAAGTGGCTTGGTGATAATAGGACAGCTGAACTGTATTGCTTGCCTGTAGTTGAGGTTTTGGAGTTGCCTTGGGATGAAACAGAACAGAAGGATGTTCAAGTGTTTGATTGTGAGACTGGTGAGGAGTTGGTGAAAGTTCAAAAGTCTGGTGAAGCATTGAATAAGCAGCAACCATGCTATGTTATTGAGATTTATGACGAATCAGTAGAAGGTGATGACGTGTATGTTTGATGAAGTGGATGACATGGAAGCAGATGAAGAGGAAGTTTATACAGTGCATGGAACAGAGCATGAGTATACAGAGGTTGATTTTATGGGGGCTGAAGTAGACTCACATGAATCAGAAGTGCATGATGCTGAACCAGAGAAACCACATGATGTCGAACCACAGTTGAGGTCTGAACATGAGTTGTATGACACTGAAAGAGGACTGATCCAAACATTCCCATGAGTAGTTTTATGGAGATTGTGAAATAGGACTACATGTATGAGATTTCAAAGCATCAGTTCTCTAGGACAAGATCGAAATGTGCAAAAGTTATTAATGGGATTGTAGCTGAGCAGTACAAAATTTTATGGGATTACGGTGAGGAATTGAAGAGAACAAATCCAGGCAGCACAGTGCAGATCAAAGGTTCAGGTCACAAATTTAAGAGATTGTACATCTGCTTAGGGGCTTGTAAGGAAGTTTAAGGCTGGGTACATGCCAGTTGTTGGGTTGGATGGTTGCTTCATAAAATCTGCAGAAGTTGAGCAGTTGTTAGCAGCTGTTGGCATTGATGCTGAGAACTGTATGTTTCCATTAGCATGGGCAGTCGTGGATGTGGAGAACAAAACAAATTGGCAATAGTTCATAGAATTGTTGGTTCATGACATAGGGATGCACAACCCTCGAGCATGGACATTCATTTTCAATAAACAAAAGGGTTTGGTGGATTCCATAAGTCAATACTGTGAAGGAGCGGAGCATAGGTGTTGTGCTAGACATCTTTATAACAATTTCACCTTGGTACACAAAGGTCTGACCCTTAAGAACTTATTTTGGACTGCAACAAGGGCAACAACAGTGCCAGAGTGGAGGAGTGCAATGAATGAGTTAAGAGACATAAGTGAAAAGGCTTACAATTGGTTCCTTGAAAAACCTCCTTCCTAGTGGTTTAGATCCCATTTCGAAGAGCATTCGAGATGTGATATTCTTCTTAATAATTTGTGTGAGGCATTCAATTCTTCCATTGTTGTTGCCAGAGACAAGCCCATCATCTCGATACTAGAGAAAATTCAGCATCAGCAAATGATATTGATGAATACAAAAAGGAAAGTAGCATAGAGGTGGGATCATGCTTTCAGGCCAAGAATTGTGAAAATCATTGAGAATGCTAAGTCTGAGGCAAGGTACTTGAAGGCAGACTATGCAGAGAACCATAAATTTGAGATAAGCAGTAAAGATGATTTGAGGTGGAGCGTTGACTTGACAGAACATGCATGTGCATGCAGAAAATGGCAGGTCACTAGAATACCATATCCCCATACAATATCAAGCATGCTTTCAAGGGATATTGGTATACATGAGTACATCAACCCATGTTATAGCAAGGAAACATACCTCAAGCGTTACTCCCCAGTGATCCACCCGATGTCAAGGCCTGAACTGTGGCCAGAATTGGGAAAGCATCCTCTCAATCAACCTCGGAAGAGAAAACAGGCTAGCAGACCCAAAAAAATGAGGAATAGGTCACAGGCAGAGCCACCTGCAGGCTGCAAGAGTTAAGATGGGAAAGACTGGCATGGAGATGACGTGTTAACGCTGTGGAGGGTTTGGACATAACAAAAGAAGCTGTAAGGAACCATTGTCTGGTTAAGGTAGTTCACAGCAATAGTCTCAACAAACCATACAAACAGAGTCCCAAGAACATACAGAGACCAAATCAGCGAAGGGGAAAAGAAAGCACATTCGATGGAAACCTCCAAGTCACAGACAAAGAAGTCCAATAATAGAGGATCGAAATCTTGAACATCATGTGGTTTCTCATGTCTAGTTACTTAGTTTTTTGGGAAAATGCTTTGATTTTTTGTAAACTGAACTGGAAATATGTACTTCCAATTCTATTATTTTGTAGATGTAATTGAAATTTCTGATGAAATTGTTAAATGTGATGATAATGTTGATGTTGAATTTCTTGCATTATGTTGGGTTGTCATTAGTTTCTGAAATTGTATTCGTAAAATATGATGTGTAGGCGATTAGGAAATATATGAAAATGTCTGATACGTCCTCTGAAAGTATTATCAAACGTTTGGTACCTTTAGTGAAATATTTTTAAAGGTTTGTTATTCTCTCTGAAACCATTAGAAAATGTTTAGTACTGATTCTTCAAATCGTTATAAGGTTTGGTATCTAAGCTGCACCTTCTACAGAAAAGTTTGGAGCGTAATCAGCTCTTTTAATTTCGCATTACATAGAGGCTAGGAAAATATCGTTATCGCCTATTAAGGCATCATTAAGTATAGGAAAAAGGGGGCACTTCATTCCAAGTAAAAATGTACGACACAATTTTTTTTTCCTTTTACATATGCGTTTCACAACATCTAACACATGGCTCCATGCCGAAACCCTAAACATAAATTTCTGGAACTAAATACTGACATCCTACAATTTGACCCTACATACCTAGGAAAAACCCCATTTTGCAAACACTCCACACACAAATTCGAAGAGCCAGATCTTCCACACATTTTGGTCTTATTGCTTGAAGGGTGTTGATTTCAGCTTCAATTTCCCTCCTAGCTTATAATAGACCAGGAATCAGTTCCTTCGATCTCTCACACATTGGATAGTCACACCATATAAAGAAGGTGTATCCACCCACATCTTGACTTGGAGGACAAGTGAGAAATCTTCTTCCCGAGACCCGTTCTAGTAGTTTAAGCTTTTAGACAACGGTCTTTTGATTGTTTTCTTTCTTGTGGATCTACCTTGTCCCTTTATATAGGTTCATTCGCTTAAAGAGAAATTGCAAGAGAGAGAGAAAGGGAAGCCAAAATCTGAGCCATGTGATACCACGAGTCCATTAGAAGCAGGCTCAGAACCAAACAAACCACTTCCCAGTTCTGTCTCACCAAATGCATCAAATATTCCAATGGTGATTTACAAACAAGATGATGCAACTTCTGCAAAAAGTGATGTTTTTGATTCAGATAGCCCGCATTATGCCGATGGGATTCATTCCTCATTCATAGAGCCGTCTGATTCTTCGCATATTTTTGGCTCGGATTTCTCTCAAGACGAAGAAGACAACCTGAGCAGGAACCTTATGCCCCCACCTAGCTTTGTGAAACTTGAAGATGATGAATCTTATGGTGATTTACAAATGAATTCATGCAATTTGGGATTCCCAGTTGAAGATCAGACCACTTGGTTATGGCCTCTTATTGAGTAGTGTATCTTGTACGACAAGCTAGCTGCGCCTTTTAGTGATGTGTTTAATGTAATAATCTATTGTAAATTAGCTTACAATCAGTAATGAAACTCTGTTTTATCGAAGATCTTGATTTGCATTTATTTTTCTCGCAAAATTTGGAAGTGCAACAGTTGTTAATAACTTACCGAATGGAAAGATGACGTACTGAATTTAGCTCAGGCACTGCTTTAACGGGCGATAGTCGAATATACAGTATCCCTAGGTCGATATATCCCTAGGTGGCGTGGCGAATGTCAACATCGAGGTGCCGAATCCACGGCATCCCTTGGCCACCCTTCTTTCGCATTAGTTCTATATGTTTCTGCACCATCTGACCGACGTAACAAGTAAAAATGCGAAGAAGAATTGCACAATTTGCATGCTTGTTCAAATGTTCGCGAAGTGGTTGGTTCTATCTTTTATTGTGCTACAAGGAAGAAAATTACACAAATGAGATGAAAAGTTGCCTAGGATTCTATTCTATTTTGATGTTACGTAGAAGAAAACTACACACATTAGAAAAGTGGGTTAGGATGCAGTTCTATTTCTTTTTAAAAAATTGTTAGCAGTAATTCTTCAGTTACATAACAAAAATTATCGTTTACTTCATCATTCTGTCCTCCAATCAATTTCATTTAGCCCCTGTTTGTTTCCTATTCTTTCCTCATTAAAATGAAAAATATGATCGTTATCCATCACATCAAGCCACCAATTTCGAATTTCTATCTCTTGTGTAAAGTCATAACGACTATATTTTTCATTCTCATTCTTATAAAAATGATAAACAAATGGGGCCTTAAAATATCTACTAAAAAAGTAACTAATTAAAAAGTAATGTATTGATAAAAATTGTTAGCTAACGTGTTATTCGTTCGAGATCGAAAGCCAAAGATTTGAACAATATACTTTAGTATTAATGAAAGCATTTCTAAAGTTGGAAGGCTTTAATACAGTGTTCTACTATAGGCAAGTTTTTCAAAAAAAGTATCAAATGAACTTTGAATACAACCAATGGAAAGAAGAACAATTGAGGGGTTTAGCCCCTAAATTCGAGGTTTTTCAAGACTTCATCCAACTGCCGTTCTACAAGCAACGACTTTAGCTCGTTTCAAATGTTGACATTTTATCCTGAAAAATAAAAATGGTACGTTAAATAATTTAGTGTTTTTACAAGATTTTAACCTTTTTTATCTAACTCGACAGGGATTTAAAAATTTTAAAGAATGAAAACCATTTAAAAATAAGTCAAGAATTAATTGATTCACCTCAAAATTTTAAACAAGTTTAACCTTCACTTTGTATGAATCTCACTTCAACAATTGTTGATGTCTTGTTAACTAGTGCCATGTCTTATTTGTTATAGATGAACAAATATACAGCCATCATCGTCACAAACTATCAAGTATCGAAATCGATTTGATCCTATTGAAGTTGAATTTAAATACTCAAAAGCGGAAATTGTTCGAATTAATGTGAAATTCTTTGAGAAAATAAAAAGAAGATTGATTTTTCATTGCCGGCCAATAAAAAACACCACTCAAAAAAATTAAATGATAAACCCATAAAAAACTCTCTATGATTTTAGTAAACAAATGAGATAGCTCCACGTGTCCACCGCTTCATTCGGGGACATTCACGAGTCCGATAAATTAAACAAAGTGGTGCAAAAGACAAGAGTGAAGTTATCTCACGCCTTGCTAGTTGCAATGTGGGGGTTCGATTTTTGAAATATGGAATTGGACTCCTTGTAGGTGTAGTGTACATGCAGTTCTTGTTCTCTGACCTGATGAAACACATCCCGCGATTTACCCCCCTCACAAAGTTCTAAGTGCAAGACGGTGGGGAACTCAAGATTAGGATTCAACTTTTTTTAATTAAACAAAAGTCTTAGTCAAAAATGTCCACCACGCAACCTCTGAAGTCCGTGGGCCCACAATTGTGACTGGTCATGCAACGTGGAGGGTACTCTACGGTGGCTGCAAAGTTGGGAGGGGCCCAAGAGTCGCATTCAATAACTTCTTTTCAGAGGATGTAGAAAAGAATGTAAATGAGGAGAAGGTGATGTACTCAATTAGGTAGGGCCCAAATCAGCCACTTGGAGATTGGATTGGGCCTTGCCGTATTCTCCACTTGTACGGTTACAATCATGGGTATCGTTGTCGATGTATCATTTTAATAGATTGGGGATGGCCGACTCACTGTTTATATAACTCCCATTTTGTCCTATTATTTGAAATTTTAATAATTGAAATAATATTTTTTTCCCTGAAAAATGCTTAGTTAAAAATGAAGAAATTTTTTTTAGCTTACGCGTAATATTATTTTATTAAAAAATATGTAATTGATAAAAAAAAAATGATATGTGATTTTAAAAATTAAAATCTAAATTTCTTTTTTTAATTCCCTCATCAAACAGAGGCATGATAAATCTAATTCCAATATTAAGAGCGAAGTTTATGGAAATAGGCATACAATTTAGATATGAATTTAAAAATTATTTTTAATTTTGATTTTAATTTGAATGTATTTAATTGGGACTTTTAAAAATTTTTAAGGATTTAAAAGTTAGGGTATTCATCTAAATATTTTAATTTTTGCTGTGTTAAATTAAGGCTTTTAGAAACTTTTAGAAGTTCTAAAAAATCGGGTATTTAATTAAAAAAATTTAAAATTCTCGACAAATAATATGTTATTCAAAATATCAAAGACTTGCGAAGATTTGTAGCAATAAATTTTAGAGAAATCACAAAAACAAAATCTCAAAATTTATCTCACATTTACCACAAGATTCGAGGAGACGTTTAACAATAAAATTAATATATTTGATTTTTTTTAAAAAATTCTTTTCTATTTCCTTCTACAATTAGCCATGATTAAATATTTTTCTTCTACGATTATATATGTTCTATTTTCAGCTTCCCTCTTTTTTATTATTTCTTCTCATTTTCTCGAACAAAAGATTAAATTGTAATTAATTACAACATTTTTTTTTCCTTTTTATCCAATTTTATATATAAAAGATCAGTGTAATTGAGTCCCAATTTGATGTAAATTAAAATTAGATTTTATTAGATTTTGATGTATGGTTAAAAAGTTGTGAACTCCTGAAATGTGTGATTAAACTTGTTGACTTTGACATAAGAATAAAATTGGATTTTAATTTGTGCCAAATAGAGACTAAATTTTATGGGAAAAAAAAATCATAGTTGTAATTAAATTTTCAAAATATTGATTTGTTATTTACTTCTGAAGGTCTGACATATTATAATACTAAAAAAATATATATTTTTTATTTTTTATCAAAGAATACTGAAACATTGCATATAAATTATTTTGTATTTATTTATTTAATCAAAATGACATTTTATTACATGGGAGAGTGGGGATGGAAGGTAAATCGAACCTCGACATCCTATGTGTGAAGTTTCTAATGTTGTGCTGGATCCAAATTAATTTTAATTTAAATGAAAGTATTCCAAAGTCAAGTGAATTTTATAAAAATCGATAAAGCTTTAATAAAAAAAAAAGTCTGGAAATCTATGAAAAAATTGTATAATTTTTATACAAATCTATAAAAAAAATCATGAATTACTAAAAATCATCACTTAAAAAGTCTTAAAAAGTATTCAAAAGTCGCGATTAAATATATACCCTTAATGATTTTATAATAGACACAATTATATATATGAATAAACTAATTTTCTCTTTATCCTCATTGTCTATGTATAATGGTTTATTCATTTAATAGACACCACTGAGTATGAATAACTTCATTTAACAAGTTTTTTTCT